TAGTGTAATTATTTGACTAAAAACGTTATGAATCAAAAGTAAACAATAAAAATTTTGACCTATGTACTTTTAAATGGTATTTATCAAGATTATTTAATACCTTTTATTTTTCACGTCTTATGAATTTTATTCTGAATAAATTTAAGGTGTTGACTTTTAGATGTGCACCATTATGTGCGACTTAAAGTCTAACAGTTAGGTTATTAGATCTAAGCTAATATTTATAAACAGTATTTCAAGGGCCCGTTTAATTTACTGATTCGAGTTTTTAATTCGAGTTGATATGTGACTTTATGTTATAGCTTTTTACTGTAGCGAAAAAGTTAGATATGATTGTTTTTTAAAACTTTTTACTGTAATAAAACTTGAATTCTAAACTCAAATCGGTGAAATGAACGGAAATATATATTTGAAAACAAAAAAGCCCATTAAAGTGTATATGTATATACATATTTTTAAATGTTTATATAATCAAAATGTATATACATTTTTTTTATATCATTCCAAAACATTTTGCGATCGACCAATTGGTCGCATCCAAAAACAATTGATGGAAACCATTGAGTTTTAGCTATAATTCTTTGGTCGGGAAAAGAATTTTTACTAAAACCGGGAGTTTGGCGACCAGCTTCTGGTCTATGACCAAGTTATTTGTGATTTTTGTTTGTTGTTGTGAAAAGGTCTTTTCGAACCAAGTTTTTAGTCACAGAAAGTTTTAATTATTGATTTTAGTGGTCCAGAAGTGAAGAATATTATTTTTTTTTCTTAAAACATAGATGTTGAAACAGTATTAAACTGATATATTTAATCATTAGATTGCATTTAAATCTTAACAAACAATAATCATAGCATATTCAAGCAATTCCAATACAACAGTAGATAATTAACATAGTCTTATATCGGAGCAGAAATATCTAACTAATTGTCCTTCTCTTTTTGCTTAATTGTGTATGTTAATAATCATAGCATACTCAAGCAACTCCAATACAAGGGTAGATAATTAACAGTCTTAGATCGGAGCAGAAATATCTAACTAATTGTACTTCTCTTTTTGCTTAATTTTGTTAAGTTTACAGTTATATAAAATAATTCTGCTTTTCCAATAGTACTTCTTATTTTGCTTAATTTTTTCAAATTAAATATTATATATATTATGAAATAAAATTGCAGAATTTTACTTTTAGGCCCCGTTCATTTCACTGATTCGAGTTTTGCTACAATAAAAAGCTCTCAGAAATAGTCACATCTAACTTTTTTGCTACGGTAAAAAGCTCTCACATAAAATCACATCTCAACTCGAATTAAAAACTCGAATCAACGAACTAAACGGATCTTAAAATACTGTTTATAAATATTGACTTAGATCTAATAACCTAACTGTTAGACTTTAAGTCGCACATAATGGTGCATATCCAAAAGTCAACACCTTAAATTTATTTAGAATAAAATTCATAAGATGTGAAAAAAAAAAGGTATTAAATAATCTTGACAAATATTCTTTAAAAGTATATGGATTAAAATTTTTACTCTTTACTTTGGATGAACTAAAATTTTATGAGTTTAAATTTGTATTCCTTATTTTTAATTAATATCCTATTATTAATATAATTATTTAACTAAACAAATTATTAATTAAGAATAAAAAATAAAAATTTTTATATGATTTTAAAGAGCATTTATCTTTTTTTTCATAAATATCAACATATAAAATAATCAATATTGTGAGAGAGAGGATCTCTCTTGTTTTATTCGGCCGACATGAAGAAATCAAAGCTCATCAGAACGGCGCGGGCAGAACAACCATGCATGCATACACATATGCATCTTGAGAGCCGAGAAAGCGCGGCTGCCAGTTCATCAAATGAGATAAGATAATGGCAGAGGGAGGAAAATATGTTAAAATTTGATATGGATTAAAATTAATAGATTAATAGTTTACATAAGTTAATAGTTAAGTTAAATTATTATTTTCATTCATAATTTGTTTAGTTATGAATCATAATTTGATAAATTATTGTCTATAAATCACGATTTTTGTCCATAACTTATCTGATTATGAACCATAACTTGATAAGTTTGTTCATAACTTATCTGGTTATGAACCATAACTTGACAAGTTATAATTTATTAATTTCTATAACTAAAAATTAGCCTATATACTTTTTTAAATTTTTCATATTGACATATTTTTTATTATTTTCGTGAGATAATCTAGATAATGCAAGATTCACGCACAACCAATACACCGATTTTCTATCTTTTTTTATTTTATTTTTCTTTTCATGAATTTGGATTCATTTCTTCGAAAAGAGTATGTTAATTATTAGTATATTACGTATCCTAGACAGACAGGGATGCGTCCTTTTGTGTTTGTATGTTTGACTTCTTTCTCAAGCAAACACATTCAAATATGCACGCACAAAATAAACAATTTTGAGTTTGACTAAAATAAAAATAGAAATAGAAAATTAGCGATCAAATATACATGTTCAGATTCAACGTGGAAAAAAAAAGTCCAGATTCATTCATCAGTATAACTTCCGAAACTACTATTCATCAGTAAAACATGATAGGGAAACTATCCACGTGCTTTAATCGAATTATTAAGACTCTGTTCATTTTACCGATTAGAATTCGAGTTTTATTACAGTAAAAAGCTCTCAGAAATAGTCACATCTAACTTTTTTATTACAGTAAAAAATTCTCACATAAAGTTACATCTTAACTCAAATTAAAAATTTAAATCAGCGAACTAAACGGGCCCTAAATTAGTAACTCTGTGTTCAGATAACTTTTGAGCACAAAAATGTCTTTTTTTTTTTTTTCCTTTCTAGTTAAAAACATGTAAAATAAAAAATGTTTTAGGTAATAAAAGCCCACAAAAATGTCTCCTTCTTTTGTGTTCAGATAATTCTGTTATTGATTGTTCTTCTTTTTTTTTTTCCCCTTGTGTTCATCTCTTGTTTGATAATGTAGATAATCATGCACTCCGTATTGTAACCATGTATAATTACATCAGAGACATGTAACTGAAAAAAAAAAAATTATATATATATATATATATATATCCGAGATATGCACTACTGAGTATCACCATGAGGCAGCTAAGATGATTTGGCAGATTTTATTCCCTCAATCTCTATCCCTATCTTCGTGCTATTATTACATTATTAAGTAGTCCACTGGCAAAAATCCGAGATATGCGCTACTGAATTAAGACTTGAATGAAGCAGAAACAAATAATCTGCAAAGGACAATGTTATAATGATTAAATGAAAAACGTTAATACATTAACCAATAACAAATCAAACTGTTAGATCTGACATTTGCTATAGCTCATGCCAAATTTGCCCCCAAGTGTAGTATTTGTCAAATTTAGCATAGAAAAAAATATTGCATTACAGAGTCTTTTTTTTTTTTTTTTAGTCAAATACCAAATTCAACATTGGTATTCAATTTAACACTCCATTAAAGATGCTCTAAAAACAATACAAAATTAGTTTAAAAAAAAAAAATACAAGATGTCTCATAATTTGTTTTCTGTGGACGAAAAAACTACACCTTGATGAGATAACAAAATATGGAGAAAAGAAAATACTCAATTAGTGGAATCTCAAATATCCATGAGGATTAATTTAAGGGTGGCAATTCGTGTCGGCGGGTCGTGTTGACTCCCTCAGTTTATACGAATAGGCTTGATACGAACACGATCCGTTTATTAATCGTGTCGAAATACAAAACCCAAACACGACCTATATATTGGTGGGTTGACACGACACGGTATAAATAACCCGTTTATTAAACATGTCATAAACGTGTCGTGTTAACCCGTTGATTACATGTCAACCAGTTTATAAAATGAGTGATAAATGGGTCGTGTTAACGTATTTCTGAACCTATTTTTGAACATGTTTATAAAATATGTAATAAATGAGTCGTGTTAACCTATTTCTAAACTTATTTATAAAATGGGTAATAAACGGATTGTGTATTTGTGTTATCCAAATATGACACATTTAATAAACGGATTATGACAAGTTAATTACGGATTGGCAGGTTAACCTGAAAATAATACGTTATTTAATCGTGTTTTACGGATTCGGTCTGAGTCGTGTTAACGTATTTCTGAACCTATTTTTGAACATGTTTATAAAATATGTGATAAATGAGTCGTGTTAACCTATTTCTAAACCTATTTATAAAATGGGTAATAAACGGATTGTGTATTTGTGTTATCCAAATATGACACATTTAATAAACGGGTTATGAATTAACGGGTTGGCAGGTTAACCTGAAAATAATACGTTATTTAATCGTGTTTTACGGATTCGGTCTGATTTTGACCCATATCTATTTATGATAAATCTAAACTCACTAATTTTATGTAAATTTCAAATCGTGTCGTTATTCGAATTGCTAACCTAAGGATTATGATAAATTATTACCCTTTTTGTATTCATAAAAACGAATTTCAAATCGTGTCGTTATTCGAATCGCTAACCTAAGGATTATGATAAATTATTACCCTTTTTGTATTCATAAAAAAAATAAAAAAAAAACGAGTGGATAACGATTACTTTAATAATATAGGGGTAAGACGAGACCACCGAAATCGGGTGCGTGACGTGGCAAGAAAACAGACAGGCAACAACTGAGTGCGTCAGCATTGGGCAAAAGAAATGCTTGGTCGCGGAATGAGTGGGAGAGGCAGACAGCAGACAAATACAACTGCGCACGTGGCCTAATTCATACACACGACTCCAGTTGTTATTATTTCTCGCACGTGTTGCTCATGCACTTTTCCATCCCTTTCTTTTCAACTTTCCACTTCTTTTTTTTTTTCCTTTCATTAAATAAAACTCCAAATACCGTACATTTTTTCAGTTTTTTAACTGTTTGTTGTTAACCATTACATCCGATATAGAATATATATATATATATATATATAAACTCCATGTCTTTCCCATTTCCTCATCTCACCTCTGAACTTTCCCACCTTTCTCTCTCTTCTTTCTCTCTCTATGGCTTATTTTGACGACCTTTTTTGCTTAAAATCCATGTCTGTGACTTTGGGGCTCTTGTTCTTTTCCTTCACTGCCATTTTCTCCCTTTTCTCTTTCCTAATCTTTGTCTTGAGGCTCAAACCGTGGTGTAACTGCGAAGTCTGTCGGAGTTTCTTGACATCGTCATGGACCTCGGAGTTCGGGAACCTCTGCGATTGGTACACCCATCTTCTCCGAAAATCCCCGACCGGGACGATCCACGTCCACGTCCTCGGCAACACCATAACGGCCAATCCGGAGAACGTCGAGTACATGCTCAAAACCCGATTCGAAAACTACCCGAAGGGAAAGCCGTTTTCGATGATCCTCGGCGATCTTTTGGGCCGAGGGATTTTCAACGTCGACGGAGATTCGTGGCGGTTCCAGCGCAAAACGGCCAGCTTGGAGCTCGGGAGTACCTCGGTGAGATCCTACGCTTTCGAAATCATTAAGACCGAGATCAAATCGAGGCTGATTCCGTTACTAGCTTCGGTTTCGGGGAAGAAGGAGCAAGAAGGCGGGGTTTTGGATTTGCAGGACGTTCTCCGGCGATTCTCGTTCGACAACATTTGCAAATTCTCGTTCGGGTTGGACCCGGGTGGTCTCCGCCTTTCGCTGCCGATGTCCGAGTTCGCCGCCGCTTTCGATCTCGCCTCGAAGCTCTCGGCGGAGCGGGCGACGTCGGCGTCGCCGTTGATATGGAAGGTGAAGCGGCTGCTGGGGATTGGGTCGGAGAGGAAGCTGAGGGAGTCGGTTAAGATGGTGGACAATTTGGCGGCGGAGATGATACGAAGCCGCCGTGAAAAGGGGTTTTCCGATAGGCAAGACCTTCTGTCGCGGTTCATGGCGTCCGTTGACGACGACCGATATCTCCGCGACATCGTCGTCAGCTTCCTTTTGGCCGGAAGGGACACGGTGTCGTCGGCACTAACAAGCTTTTTCTATTTAATTTCGCAGCACCCGGAAGTGGAACAAAAGATCCGAGAGGAGTCGGATCGGGTCATGGGTTCGGGTTCCGACGAGGTCCCCGATTTCGGCGAAATGGGAGAAATGCATTATTTGCATGCTGCCATCCATGAGAGCATGAGGCTCTACCCGCCCGTACAGTTTGACTCCAAGTTCTGCCAAGAGGACGATGTTCTGCCTGATGGGGCGCTAGTACGGAAAGGAACAAGGGTTACTTTCCACCCGTACGCAATGGGGCGGATGGAGCAGATATGGGGCCCCGACTGCCTCGAGTTCAAGCCCGAGAGGTGGTTTAAAAACGGGGTTTTCGCCCCGGTTTGCCTGTTCAAGTACCCGGTTTTTCAAGCCGGGCGTAGGATTTGTTTGGGTAGGGAAATGGCAGTAATGGAGATGAAATCCGTCGCCCATACGCTAATCAAACGGTTCAATATTCGGGTTTTTGGGCCCCACCAAGAACCGCGGTTTGCCGCTGGCCTCACCGCCACCGTGAGAGGCGGTCTGCCGGTTCGTATCCAAGAAAGAAGCTAGTTTGATTTCACAATTTGTTAGCTCACCCAATGTTAGTTCATCATGTATAGAATACACATACAGTGAGACCCAAAATTTTCCCATTTGTAGCAGAGAAATGTTGACCCGAATTAATTAGGTATCGTTCATTTCACTTATTCGAGTTTTCAGTTTTAAGTTTTTACAGTTAAAAACTCTTAGAAAATGTCACATCTAACTTTTTTTCATACAATTAAAAGCTCTCAGAAAATATCACATCTCAACTCAAATTGAAAATTCGAATTCGCAAAACGAACAAGGCCTTAAGTTTTATTTAGCTAAAAATTTGAGAAATACGAGAATCATATATAAAGGTCTTGTTCATTTCACCGATTTGAGTTTTACAATAAAAAGTTTTCAGAAATAATCGCATTTAACTTTTTTATTATAGTAAAAAACTTTCATATAAAGTCACATATCAATTTGAATTAAGAATTCGAATTAACGCACTATATGGGCCATAATGACGCTGCTAATAAAAATTCGAGTCAGAGAACTATACGGGCCATAATGACCTTGTTAAATTAGTTGGGTAGGTGCTAGCTTTTCTTTGTAATTTTTGTGAATGGGGATTTTATAAATAATGTTGAAGATACTATACTAATTCATGTATGGAGTTATACATTCTTCTTCTTTATATGTATGTTGTGCATACATGATGATACATTTGTGTTTATGGAAATTCAGTTACTCTTATATATATATATATATATATGTATGTATATATTTACTAGTCTACGACACTGCCATATTCTAAGCCCTATAGAATGGATGTTTTTGAGAGTCTAATTACAACAATCACTAGAAATATATATCCTGTAAATTCGTATTTTTTATTTGAAACTAGAGTGAGGTTGATTGATTAATTATAAACTCGATTTTGATATCTTAATAGGTTGAGTAGTTATATAGCACGCTAGGAAAAAATGATTCCAAAAGTCATGTACTTGTAAATACGACAAAATATTATGAAATTTAGGTCTCGTTCGCTTTGCAGATTCGAGTTTTCAATTTAAGTTGAGATGCGATATTTTCTAAGAACTTTTAACTGTAAGAAATTTAAAACTGAAAACTCAAATTGATGAAATGGACGAGCCTTAATAACATTTTATTAAACATTTACTAGCAGTAGCATTCTAGAGCTAAGATTTTATATGTGCGCACACATGTAAATAGGTCAAAATAAATAATATAAAATAGAGAACAAACTCACATGTTCACCATTATATCATGCCATGAGAGGATATAATTTTAAGTTTGCCGCCCATTAGGCATGGATAAGGTGGGCTACCGCCCCACGAATTAGAATTATTTGCCGGGTTTAAAATTGTTTTTGTTTTTATTTTTCACGTTTTTTAAGAACGAAAAAATAAAAATGATTCTAAAACGTTGTTTTACACAATTAAAAATAAAAAATAAAAATGAAAATGATTTTTTAGTTTAATGTAAAATGGTAGAGAAATAAAAAAACGACTTTTAGTCGTTTTTCATTTTTTATTTTCGTTTTCTCCCCTCTCGAGCAGAGAGAGAGAGACATTAATAGGTTTTTTATACTGAAAATAATCTCTTGATAAAACTACCAAACATATTTTCAAAAATAATTTCTGTTTGAGATTAAAAACGTTTTTATTTCTATTTTCATATAAAAAATAAAATCATTTTAAAACGAGTTTTAAACGCACCCATTAAATCATTTCTTTTGGACAAAGGTATCAATTATATGCTTCTCTAATTAACGTGATTGCGTTTTGTTTTGTTGAAATATATTAAGAAGAAGAAGAATAAGGTCGATTCCATGAATCTATATGCTATGTATCATGAGCAACATACCGACACTGACGTAATTGGTGACCATTAAAGTTTTGTCAACTGCTTCAAATATCTCTTTTTGCAAATCATCACGTGCATTTATGTTGTGGTCTATAATTTAAGTCAATCTTGTCTATTGCGGTTATATTGTCTGAAGTATACTAGATCATCCATCAATTATAATATATTTCATAATTAAGTCACCGAAAATTTTGATAATTCTATAACCACTGATGCATCAATCCTTCATGATTGATGCTTGTTAGCTAATTGTTAAAAATTTCAATATGACCAATAATGTAAAGCTTTAAATAAATAATTGAGACTATGGTACCCTCAAAAAAAAAAAAAAAAAAGACTATGCGTTTGAAGTTTGAAACATATATCTATATATTTCATGGTTTTTAGACACTGATTTGGATGTCTGACTAATAATCACACTTTGATTAGATATATCCTAGCAATGTGGCTCACGTTTTAGTTTACAAAGCTAAGGCATCATAATATCTCTTAATTGTGGGCCCCCAGACCAAAATATGGAAATATAGGACCGCTACATGTGAAGAAACTATGAGAAAAAGTACTTTATTTTGGGACCGAACTTGAGTGGTTTATAGTGCGTTTAGTTGGTGGATTCGTGTCATGATTCGAATTATGGTTCGTAGTTTATTACAGTATTTTTTCTCATAAAAAATACACGTAAATTAAAAATAATTCTGAATTCATGATTCTGAATTTATAAACCAAACGTCCTCTTAATTTGTGAATTAGGCTGATAATATGACCTTGTTAAGATATGCACGTACGTACGTAATGAGATCGTCAGATTGGTAGTTAATATCTGTTGTATTGAATTACATACATATATATATATATATATCACATATATTGTGGCGGAGCCACTTCTCTTTCAATCGGGAGTGCATATTTTTTTTAGAAAAAATATACAAATAATATGATGAATATTAAAATTTGTATTGAGTATTTTTCCAAGAACTACCACACACACACACACACACACACATATATATATATATATTTAAAAGTGTGAAGTTCAATAATCGCGTATATGTAAAAGCCGAATTTCAGTACGTATGGGGACGAAACACAAGCAAGTCACAATGTGATCTAAAGCTATTATTATCTTTTTCACTCAATTGGAGCTGCCCCCTCAGCCCTTATCAGCTCCATCACCGGCTATATTATTTACTTATATATGCTGACCAGAAGTAGCGAAAGTTCTATGTAATTATACTCACAATAAATGCATGATGATACGCGAAAATGTATGTGTTATATACTTATATACACACACACACACATATATATATATATATATATATGGATACACAAAAATGTATGTGTTATATATATATATATATATATATATATATATATGGATTGGATTCACATGACATGGTAAGCGAGAAACCCTACGTGTGCGAGCACACCCGTGTGAATATGTGTATATGTGTTGACGTAGTTAGGTTAGGTATACATTTGTAAACATTCGGGCTTTGTCTTTTAATCGACATAATTAATACGGACCCTCTATGGTCACTTTCTTGCACGTGGAAAATGTGCTCGCGATAGCTAGAAGGAAAAAGTAAGAATGTCCTAATGAAAAGTGAACGAGAGTAGCTCGTATAAAGTCAAAAAAGTACGTACCAATTTTCAAGACACATAGTGCGGGTTTTGTTTTGTTTTTCATGTTTATCGAAAAGAAAAATGAAAATGAAAGGAAAACAATTCGAGCTGACCACAAAAAATGGAAACTAAAAGTCTTTTATTTTTTGTGTAAAATATGGTAGAAAATAAAAATGAGCTTTAGTCGTTTTCATTTTCTCTTTTTTATTTTTTCTTCTGTCAACCGCAGTTAAAGTGTTAAATGATTTAACCGATTCAATGTGCGATTAGTGGTAAAAGGGTTCACACAGTCATACATGATTGATTATCAAGAGACATTTGCATTTGTAGTCAAATTTAATACAGTACGTGTTTTGTTATCAATTGCCGTGAATCAAGATTGGCCGCTGCTCCAATTAAATGTGAAAAATGCGTTCTTGAACCGATAACATCGATAGTTAGCGTATTAGAATTACAAAACGGAAAAAAGACCGATCTGTGCTTAACCAATATACGCATAAGTTAAAATATGGAATCTGAGGAATTTTTCCTTTTTTTTCTACGTTTTCCCCTTTTTTTTTAGGTACATCTTTCTTTGAGTGCTTGAAAGTAATCCAATTAAAACGGAGTAATTAAACAGTAAATATTTTGCCGCCACACTATCAGTTAGAGACTTCGGCGCGTAATATATAATTGACAAAAATCTGTTGCTATTTAGGCTTCTTCTCATCATATCTGTCGTTTTAGTTCCAACGACGACATTGTCAGGAATTGAGGGATTTAAAAGAAAAAAGTACTTATAAATATAAATAAAAATAAAAATAAAAATAAAAAAACAATCATAAAAGTAGAGGCTGGAAAGATATATTTGGGTTTAATTTTACAGTTAGTTTGTTATTTGGTTAAAGCAAATCTATCAATGATTTCTATTTCAAGCAAAAAAAAAAAAATCATGATTTATATTGGTAGATCATTAGTTTACCAAAATCAATCAGTAATAAATTAAAAAAAAGAAAAGAGAATAGAATATAAAAATGTTTTTTTTTTTTTTATATACAAATCTCGTTTTTTAGGGACATTCACATGCCTCAACATAAAATTGATAAAAAAAAAATAATAAAAAATAACATTTAAAAAAAAAAACTAATGATCAATATGTCAAAAATGCATAAAATGAGAAGAGATTGGACTAAGCGTTCGTTTAGCATTACTTTTAGAAGTTATTTTTAGCTTTTTTAAAGTAGCTATGATAAGTTAGGCCCCGTTCATTTCGCTAATTCGAGTTTAGAATTCGAGTTTTGTTACAGTAAAAAAGCTCTCAGAAACAGTCACATCTAACTTTTTTACTACAGTATAAAGCTCTCACACAACATCACATCTCAACTCGAATTAGCGAACCGAACGGGCCAATATATTATTCGACAGTAATTGGTTTCCAACGGTGTGGAGATGAATGCTCTTGTGAAGTCGTCCAAACCAAGACAAAAGCAGTGAGAGTGCAGCAGGATGATTATTCAAAATCACGATGGGAATTTTTCTGATTTCAGATTACCATAAAATTAATTAGGATAATTAATTTCCGAAATCAGCTATGTATGTCCTGCTAGGGATACGTTACGATATTATTATAACGAACACAAGGGTAAATTGATTTCACACATTAATTTTTAAGTGTCAATTTTAT